CTAGTAATCCTCAACAACTTTTTAATTTTTACACCTGGAGCTAAAAGTCTGTTTCAGGAAATCACATCCCCAGCAATCGGCGGTTGTAGAATTAAGCTGTTAAAGGGTTCATACACCACTAGTTGGCAGTGTTGTACATATATTGTACATGAATTGTCAGCTAATAAGTGTCAAATTGAACTTGTGCTTTAAAATTAGCTTCTGCTAGTTTTTCTATGACATAAGTGCTTTWGAARTTGMGGAGCTAAYTTTTGGRTTAGTGCTGCCCACCWCTGGTTTTTGGTATAAATATAATTTCTGTTAATCCAGTGGTCTTACCGTCACTTATGGGGGTGCTGCACACTGGCTCCAGCTCTTCTTCGCTCCTCCTCCTCTTCCTCATGTAAGGAGTGCTGTGCAGCAGCTGTGGACTTGTCCCGCACTCGTCCCCGACTCCAGTGTGGAAAAGAGAGGGAGAGTGGTCCGTCCGGACTCTCTCCTGGGAGTCAGAGAGTCTGGGGGAACCAGGTTCTGCTGGGCTGCTTCTGCTGACACAGTCTGGTTCTGAGGAGCTGGGCTGAGGAGGCTGCTGCCACGGAGGCAGCTCGGGGGACTCTGGAGACGACATTTTACCATCATCTTCTTCATCCTTGTGCTCAAGACCCACATGGGTGTGGTCTGCGGGTGGWCTGAGGTGGGTGGGTTCACACTGTGAGGTGGTCTTCATCAGAGGAGACAGAGCTAAGGACAGGTTGAGTTTCTTCCTGCTTTGAGGTCTAACACTGGAAATGTCCCCACAGTGTTCAACAGTCCCTGCAGGACAACAGGAAGGAGCCGACTCCTCCGGTCCCTCTGGGTCCCGCTCCACCACGTCAGTCCCGGTCCTGCCCCCCACCTTCTGCAGACTCTCGTACTGTTTCCTGGCTTTCAGCCACAGCTGCACCTGCTCACAGCTCGGGGGGATCCTGCAGGGAAGGAGGATGATCTTTTTGTCTCTCCTGGATGGATTAAGCTCCGCCCCGTCTCCGGCTCCCTCCCAGGTCTCCACCTCCTGAGGAGACGGGGTCATGTTGGYGGCAGGGTGCGTCATGGCTGAGAAGGCAGTCTTCCAGAAACGAAGACCCTCCAAAGACAGATCYCCACCGAACTCTGCGAGCTCCTTCACTGATCTGGTGCCGACTGTGAGCTTACGGCCTCCCACCTCCCTGGAGGAAGAAACAAACAGGTGAGGATAAGAACAGCTCACCTGTTTACACCTGAGATAAACAAGTCATCACAGCTGCAAACACACAGCAGTGTGTATGCACAAAAACATTGCATGCTCCAGGTTCTACGCCCACGTTGGAGTGTATCAAAACCAACGTTGCGTGAAAGTGTGCATATATTTACACACACTTTTCACCTGCTGTGAGAGTGTGCGGCAGCCACGCAAAGTTTTAACTCACAAAGTCATGAATCTGAGCTGAATCCACAGAAATATGACTCTGTTGTGTTTTCTGGATGTAAGGAGCGTCTGAACACRSTGTTAGATTTTTATTTTAGTTTGAGTTTTTATTGTTTAAGCTGAACGATGATGAAACTGAAAATCATTTAACCTCAGACAAGAAAACAGATCAGTCTGAAAATGATCAAAGACCCTCAGTCCAGTCATAAACAGTTTTTATATTTTTGTCATATAATTGAAAACCTTTTGGGTCTCGGGCCAGAAAAACCCGACACATTACGTGCGACATAAAATAAAATAAATAAAATAAAAAAGGCTGAAGAGAGGGAGCAAAATCAGATACAAATKGTGTCTCACTGTACGGTAATTATTATTTTTTCTGTKTGTRRCCTTCTGGTTGATRCTGAGTTGTGGCCGCAGTGCAGCAGCTGTGCTTYGGGTAGATTCTCGTGCCAGGCGCACACACCCTCACCAGCTGAGAAGGTGTTCATATGTGTYAACTCCTTTGGACATTTACCGTCTAATGAGCCTCAAAAAATATATAATTTTTGCTAAAAATCCGTAGACTACCACTCGTACCCATGTGTGGGGGTGGGGTGGGGGTCTGTCCGTGGAGATGACAGCGCTGCTGTAACGCAGGAGSAAAGGAGAGAGGAAAAAGTGGATAACGGGATGTTTTGTTTTTTAACGTCTGTTCAACACAGTGTTAAACTAAATAGACAACAACTAACCAGCTTCAACATCACATTCAGGAGATGTCTGTAAATTTCAGGAAAATCTCAGGCTTTGGTTATCCTGTGTGAATGCACCACATAAAACACCCACTACTTATTTAGACAGTTTTCTCACTCATTCTCCATTTAATGTATAATTTTCCTGCATCTAAAAATCATTTCTGATCCCACAGAGAGGACAAAAGGAGGTAAACCTCACACGCTGGACACATTTACATCTATTTTACAGATTTAAATGGAGGCGTGTCAGGGGAGGAGTCTCAGTTCCACCTTCATTGGGATGTATAAAGGAAAGGTGCGCAGGAACCTGTGCGCACAGTTTTATACATCTGAATATTTTGGTGTTTGATTTGTTTTTACTGTTCACTGTATGGTTTAATTGTTGATGAGCTAAGGTTAACTCTTAATGTGCGGGGATGTTGCCCGTACGCCAACTTTTAGTGTGAAAGCTGCGCAATCCTTTATGGATGAGGGCCCTGGAATCTGTTTTTAGAGTAAAGCCTGATATAAAATCACTATTCTAATGAAGTTAGGATGTTGTGTAAAACATAAATAACAGAATATGATGATTTTTAAATCATTTTAAACCTGTATTTAATTGAGTACACTGCAAAGACCAGATATTTATTGTTAAGATAATCTTATTTTTTCAAATTATTCACTCATTTTGATCTAAAAAAGCTGAAACATGAGCAACAAAAGATTCAGAAAACACCTGTTTGGAGCACTCCACAGGTGAACAGTTATATAGAAACAGGTAAGTGTTGTGATTGGGTATAAAGGGAGCTTCACTGAAAGGCTCAGTTGTTCACAAGCTAGGATGGGTCAATCAYTGTACTTCCACTTCACAATGATGTGCTACTTTATGTTAATTACATTAAAGAGCTGATGACACGGTTTAATTAATCATCAGCCTGTTCCAGCTCAGAGCAGTGGTGCTGAGGAATGTGTGGTGGGTGGGAGGAGGAGGGGGAGGTTACTGGTTCAGCTGGCCGAGTGGACCTCCTGCAGCACAACTGAGCAGGAGTGACGGGGCAGAGGCAGGACGGGTAAAGATGTGACGACCACTTCCTGTCTGAGTCCCATCAAACAGAGAAGAACCGAGCTGAGCGAGAATGACGCCTGCAAACCCTTCAACATTCAGCTCCATCAGTAGAAGAGGCACAAGTTTATCAAATATGTTTTTACATGTGCAGAATCACATGTTCCTTTAGATTAAATTAATCAAGAGCTTAGATCCTGTTTAATGTAAGTGTGCACAAAGTGTTACTGTTTATAGGCTTTATGTTTCTTTGACATGTTAGGTTCAACTCAAACTATTATTTTATAAAAGGATAACTTTTAATGTAAGATTCTGTTTTACACATGAATGTTTGCTCTTTAAAAAGGATTAACAGGTCTTAACTTTAAAGGGGACCAAATATGCAAAATTCACTTTTTTCAGTTTGGGTGTGTACTGCTTCTAAAAACAGTCCAAGCACCAACAAATGCACTCAGATGTATTTTTACTATAAGTAAATGTATTTTTCTGTCTCGAAATGACCTGTTTTCAAACACTGCTACTTGTGATGTCACAAGTCTCACTCCAGCCCACCCCAACCTGAGCCCAGCTCGTCTCCTGGTAACCCAAGCAGAGACTCCGCCCACTTCTTCACAGGACGGTTCTGCTGTTTTAGAACAGTCATGGAGAACAGAGATGTGTGGATTAATTTTATTTTATTTTTATTTTTGATGGCAAAGTTCTAGCTATATTAAAGAAAGTTTGTGTAAATAATTTCACCATGAACTACTTTGGAAAAATAGTACTTCCAACTGAAAAGAAGCTGAAAGTAAACTGCTGGCGGGGGGCGGAGCTAACGTAAACAAAAGGTTAGGAGGGTGTTTTCAACAGGCAGAACTAAAAAGGTGAAATTTCATTATCTGAGATTAATTTAGTGAATTAAATCAAATGAACACGTAGAGCCCACAGATGGATCCTAACTTGTTCTAGGACCCCCATATTAGGTCTCCTTTAAAAACCTTTCAGGACTTTTCAAGATGGCGGCGTAGCAAGTGGTCGACTTCGTCTAGCTGCGCACCACATGTTCTGTATTTGAGCAGAATACCATTCTCTTACTAAGATTTCTCAACTAAATGAGTTAATACGAACGCTGATAAACGCTTCTTCGACTCACGCCAGCATAATGCCGCCCAAAATTCTAAAGAAAATTAACAAGACCGGAGAAGTGGAGTCTCAACTGACTAGCACAAGTAAAATGGCTAACACGGAGCTAACTGCTGAGCTACCAGCGGCTAGTGGGGTTGCAACACTCGACCCTGCTCTTCGCCAAGTTATTGAGGAAATCACTGGGAACATCTCATCAGTAATCTCCCAGAAAGTAGACATTCTGACTGAAATGCTTAAGAGCCAGGCCACGGAGATAAAAGTGTTGGTCGGACGCATTACAGATGCGGAGGACAGGATTGCAGCTCAGGAGGACGGTCTGGACCAGGCCACGGCCCGCATTAAAAAGTTGGAGAAAGAAACCCTCATGATGGCTCAACGAATTGATGACATCGAAAATAGAGGCAGGAGAAAAAACATTCGGGTGCTCGGTCTAAAAGAGGGACTAGAGGCTGGCCCTGGAGCCCTAAAATTTCTGGAAAAATGGTTGCCCGAATTTCTAGGAGTCGAGACCAAGAGCGGCCGGATCAAGCTTGAGAGGGCGCACCGCACACTGGCTCCACAGCCCGGGCCGACACAGAGACCAAGACCGATGCTGATCAGATTTCACAACTACCGGGATCAACAGCAGGTTCTCGAAGCAGCGCGGCGTGCGGGGAGCGGAGATCCGCCCCTGATGTATCAGAACTCCAAGATCATGTTCTTCCAGGATTTCTCGGCAGACACCATGCGCAGGCGGAAGGGATTCGACGCGGTAAAGAGGCGACTGAGGGAGGCAGGCATCCAGTACTCCCTTCTCTACCCGGCTAGGCTGAGGATTATGCGCGATGGAGATGCAAAGATTTTTAATTCGCCGGATGGAGCAAWGGAGTTTATGGACAGTTTAGGATGAAACAACACCCGCGGAAGCTCTGGACCGGACGGTACCAGAGGTCTGCTCTGTAAGCATGTTCTCATCGTCACTCATGTCAACAAGCGATGTGAGTAATTATGATTATGACTCTTTTCAATTTGATCTGCTCGGCTGCATTTTCTTGTGATTCTTAGTGGTGCGCAGCAGCGAGGAATGTGTGATGGACTTTCTCTTTTGGGTTCGTCTATCTGTGTGTGTCTTCATCAGGGAGATGAGWCACACGGGTTTGGTTAAGGTAGGGATGGCCCCCGGTGGGTTTAGGGGGAAAGCGCGCCTGGAAAGCGCTTTTTTTGTTCTGTTTTGTTTTATTTTGGTTCTTGTCTGTTGGTTTTGGTTGGTTTCTGTTCAGCTCGGCATGTTGCAGTCCTTATACTTAAT